TAGACATCGAATTCAACGTATTATTACACCTGGACACCGAAAACTATAAAGCGCACTATCTGGACCTCGTCATCGGCAACCTGGGATACCTAGACATCGAATTCAAGCTTGATTCATAAGAATCGACTTAAAAATTCCCTAGCGACACTTTCTGCCAAGCGTAGAGAACCTTCTTTTCCGGCAGCGGTGGTAATACGATGTAAGGATACGAAATCTCTCCAGATAAACATGAAGCAATTGACTCAATATATATTATATAAGTATATACCTAATTTACCTAAATAGAAATCTTCCTCCTGACCGATAAAGTCTATCGACCTAATTTCGAAATACGCGCGCGATATCGAAACTGGCGATACCTGCGCCGCCAGCGTCGAAAAAGTGAAAGTAACGTTTCTGATTATGACGTCATCATACAAGAACGTCGGCGTTAGGAGGAAGTATCTTAAAAATAAATTTTCCCATTTGGACTTTGCGTCGCAATATCTCCGCTCGTAGGGCACGTAGCGGAATATTATGAGAGAAACCCCCCCCTAATTGGACCCCAAGCTATCGATCAAGCCTACTTAGAACTTGATCCGTTCACTCGTTATCGAGATCTCAACATCTCGGGTACTCGCAACCCGTCGCGTCGCGTCGCGTAAAAGAGTCACGGTCGGTCTCGCTCCGCGTGTACTTGGCGCGAGACACTACCGTGTCTCTTGATCGATAGAAATTGACATAAACGATTAACGCTAATCGAGCAGTGATCAGGGCCCATATATTCTGTACACGCTTAATACCGACACTTATCGGTTCGATAAGCATCGTTGCGCAGGTTTTTCATATCGTATAAAAGCTGAAAAATTGGGCCTGATTGGGCCCCAGTTTATTTTTCCACGTGACAAAACTTACTCGTTGATGGCTTTACCGCGTTTGAAGCATTCACAAATTTTCCGCTCGCCCGAAACTCAAGATGGCGGTAGGTCACATGACTCCAGGGCAGAGATGCCGGCGGGCGCTCGGCAGTGTTCGGCGTCATTCGGCGTTCGGTCGCGCTCGGCGTGGCTCGGCATCACTCGGCATTCGTTGGCGTCTCATGTCTAAAGCCCGGTGTCCACGATGCAAGAACTGTGTCCAAGTTTCGATTCAAACCAATAAACTTGCAACTCTTACAGAAAAGTAGCAGTTTCATTGGCTTAAACCGAACCTTAACACCGGGCCTTAGGGCCAATTTCACCAACCACAGTTAGCTTAACCGATGGTTAAAGTTAGCAGAATTGACCAATAGAAATGAATCCACCCTGCTTTCTATTGGTCAATCCTGCTAACTTTAACCGTCGGTTAAGCTAACTGTGGTTGGTGAAAATGCCGTAAGTACGTAAAACGTAAGCGTAAGAAAATCTATCAATCCCAATCGAGTCCCAGCGCAATACTTGATTGGGATTGGTCGATTTTCTTACGCTTACGTTTTACGTCCTTACGCGATTTTGTGTGTGAAGGCCTTAAGGGCCAAAGCACATATGACAGTCGGTAATCGTGGACGTAAGTAAGGGCCAAAGCACATATGACAGTCGTAGTCGTGGACGTAAGGGCCAAAGCACATAACATGGCGTAGCGATATACGACGGTCGTAGTCCTCGACCTGACAAATCAAGATACGCCAAAGCTTGTGCGTTAGGGTCAAAGCACATAACATGGCGTAGCGATATACGACGGTCGTAGTCCTCGACCTGACAGATCAGGATACGCCAAAGCTTGTGCGTTACTTACGTCCACGACTACGACTGTTATATGTGCTTTGGCTCTTACTTACGTCCACGACTACGACTGTCATATGTGCTTTGGCCCTAAGTAAAGGCTATTCTACAATTGCGTAAAAGTAGGGTTGTAGGAGTAGGAGTAGTAGTAGTCGTGAATCTTGTACAACAGATCAATCTACAATAGAGTAAGGGCCAAAGCACATATGACAGTTGTAGTCGTGGATGTAAGTAACGCACAAGCTTTGGCGTATCCTAATTTGTCAGGTCGAGGACTACGACTACGACCATCGTATATCGCTACGCCATGTTATGTGCTTTGACCCTAAGGGCCCGGACACACACTTTTTCGTAACAGTAACAGTAGGATTTCGACCAATCGTGTTACTCGATTCGGGAACGTACGGCCGTACGTTTTCGAATCGAGCAACGCGATTGGTCGAAATCCTACTGTTACTGTTACGAAAAAGTGTGTGTGGCCAGCTTAACGCACAAGCTTTGGTGTATCCTGATTTGTCAGGTCGAGGACCACGAGGACTACGACTGTCGTATATCGCTACGCCATGTTGTGTCGCCGCGCCGGCGCGCCGAGCCGCCGCCGCGTAAACTCACATATGGTTCGCACGGCCGTCGCCGCCGTCGCTGTCGCTATTGTCGCCGTTCAGCTGCTCAAGCTGCTGTGCCTGCTGCCTGCTGTTAGGCCTGTTAGCTATAGTGCTATCTCGCCGATAACTCGCTCGTCACGATGAGGTGACGGCGCCGCGGGCCTGATTCGCGTATGATCGCGCGCGCGCGCGCGCGACTTCTTTCTTCTTTGTCGACACAGGTCTCGGAGTCATCGTCGTCGTCGTCGTCGTACTCGTCGTGGTCGTCGTCGTCGTCGTGGTCGTCGTGGTCGTGCGTAATTTCCGTCTCGCGCGGGTCGCAGATGTGAGACGTGCGAGTTTTACCGGGACCGAAACGTAGAGAGCGAGAGCGAGAGCGAGAGTGAGAGAAAGAGAGGGAGAGAGCGTGCGTAAAATGGCACAGGACACCGACGATATCAACCTCACGCCGCAGGAGTTGCAGACGCTGTCGGAGCTGGACAGGTGATTAACTCTGCTCGGTTTTTGCGCGTATCTCGAGTCTTTCTCGACTGCGGATTTAACGTTGCGGTTTCACGTCCCGTCGAGGCGACGAGTCACGTCATGGTATAACCTAGAAACGCGTTTGACAGCACGCGCTCGTGCGCAACCTACTGACACCGTTTTCGCGCTTCCGACTGTACCACATTCCGCGGATACGCCGCGAGATCTTTTGCGATAATAAAACCGCGATGCGCGGGTAAAGCCGAAAACACCGCGTCTCGCTTCGCGAGATTTTTTTAATCGCCGGCGCGCGGTGTCGACGGCAACGAGCGGCTGATCACAGGCTGACGTAAACATGAACGTCAAGGGAGCCCGGGTTTTCCGATCGCGGACGGAATGCACGCCTACAACCGTAAATGCGACAATGCGATCTAATAGAAGGCACTTTCTCTCTTGTATCCGTGCACAGTCGTCAGTTTGGCTTCCTCAAACTGAACTCCCCAGAGCAGACGAAGAAAAAGGCCCTGGTGGTACGTGCTATCAAATACCTGGAACGCATGCTGGTTCAGGCCCAGGCGGAGAAGCAGCGCAGGAAAGCCGATAATACAAAAGCGTGCCTGGACGACAAGGAAAACGAGGATGAAGCTAAGGGGATAAGCATCGATCCCAAGACGTACTGCAAACTGGGACATTTTCATTTACTTTTAGAGGATTACAGCAAAGGTACAGCTTCCTTCCTGTTTTGTTCTTGCCATAAAACAGCCTGGAACAGACTGTTTCACGTCTGTTCAAGATTTGGACTCATTTGCGAATTAATCGGTTGATTCGAGATTTACTTTATAATTGATAACATTCTTTCAAGCAAATGGAATTTTCTTTAATTTTTCTTAATCTTAAATAAACACTTGTTTGTGTAAAATAGACAAATAGACAAATAGACATTAGGGAGTAACATTAAACTTGAGGTTGTTGACATTCCAGTGATTGAGAAACCTGTCAAAACAAATGGTGACAGAGCCTTCCAGGGGCTTTGAATTGAATTCCATTGATTAACCTATTTTCTTTAAATCTTTACCTCGTGTGAAATGATTTTTATTTTATTCGATTTTTATTAACGCGGAGCAGACTCACTCTGATGAGTTTTCTTCTTTTTTCTTATCACAGCGATGTCAGCATATCAGAAATTCTACTCTTTAAAAGGCGATTACTGGAAGGATGCTTCGTTTCTATATGGGTTGGGCCTTGTTTACTTCCATTTCAACGCCTTCCAATGGTGAGTGCAAATAATTTTTTTTAATTATATGCGCGTGGAGTGGTGAATTTTATTACAAAATTCATGTGCAATATTTGATGCATGATTGTATCTCGTGACCCTAATTTTAGTAATATGAATTAAATAAAGTAAAATCAAATTAATTGTGAATTAATTAATTTGAAATAAATGAATTTAATCAATAATAAATTGCTAAATTTAAATAAACTAATATTTATAATAAATAAATTCCAATTCTATCCAATAAATAAAAACCAATTCTATCAAATTGACATCCAGTCCAGTTAAATAGATTTGATATTTTTTAATTCAAACTTTATCATGAGATTTAAAGATATTAAATTCTACCAAAGCAGAGTATTAATAAAATAAAATCGGATTAAAATTAATTGACGGGTATGATCTGTTTGCTTATTCTTCTAAAACTTTGCGAAGAATTTTTCTTTTATCGGAAATCTTTTATTAATGTCTTTTAAATAGTTTTACTGACAAAAAAGCTTTATAATTATTAGTGCCTTTCATTAAAATTGCTGAGTTAGTTGTGGCTCTTCGTGTTCTCGTTTCCACTTTTATTATTTAAAAAACAGAAAATGATAAAACGAACATCCATATAGGCCGCGAAATAAAA